AGCTTGTGACTGACCCAAGGTCGTCCAGCCAGGTGCAAGTGGAGGAGTGGGGAATCAAACCCGGTTCTCCCAGATTAGAGTCTGCACACTTAACCACTACACCAAACTGGCTCTCATCTGGCTTGGAAATACCAAAGCTGCACATCTGGCTTGGAAATCCAAAGGCAACGCGCTTTGTTCCTGAGAATGTAACAAGAGCCCTGCTGGATCAGACCAGGGAAGGTCCATATACTCCAGCATCCTGTCTTCTCACGCGGTGGCCAGGCGGCCAGCAACAGGGCAGAGAGGCCGAGGCCTTCCTAAGAACCTCAGAAGAGCCCTGCTGGATCAGCCCAGTGGTCCCACCTAGTCCAGCATCCCGCCTCACACAGCATCCTCCTTCCCCTGATGTGGCCTCCTGGGCACTGGTATTCAGTGGTTGACTTCCTCTGAACATGGAGGTTCCCTTGAGTCACCATGGCTACTCACCAGGGATAGACTTATCCTCTGTGAATCTATCTCATCCCCTTTGAAAGCTGTTTATTCCTGTGGCTGTCACCATGTCCTGCCTTTGCTGAGCAGGTGACGTTCCCAGGGATGCGTCTGAGGTGCGGCAGGGGCCCAGGGGCCTTCTGGGTACCGAGGCTGGATCAGCCAAAGGTGGACAGCGACCGGTTTCCTTTGTGGCCTTTCCGCTGCATCCGGGTTGTCAGAGGCTGTAGTGGATAAGTGCGTAGACTCCCCCACTCCTCCACTCGCACCTGGCTGGACGACCTTGGGCAAGCCGTAGTTCTGATAAGAGCTGTCCTTGAAAAAGAGCCGTTTCTGTCAAGAGCTCTCTCAGCCCCGCCTGCCTCACAGGGTGTCTGTGTGGGGAGGGGAAGGGAAAGGAGTTTGTGAGCCGCTCTGAGACTCCTTCGGATAGTGAAGGGCCATGGGGTATAAATCCAATCTCCCCCTCTTTTTCTTCTTCTTCTAGTTTGGTGTAGTGGTTAAGTGCGCGGACTCTAATCTGGGAGAACCGGGATTGATTCCCCACTCCTCCACTTGCAGCTGCTGGATGAACTCGGGCAAGCCACAGTTCTGATAAGAGCTGTTATCTCAAGGGCAGTTTCTGTCAAGAGCTCTCTCAGCCCCGCCTGCCTCACAGGGTGTCTGTTGTGGGGAGGAGGAGGGGAAGGAGATTGTAAACCGTTCTGAGACTCCTTCGGGTAGTGAAGGGCCATGGGGTATAAATCCAATCTCCCCCTCTTTTTCTTCTTCTTCTAGTTTGGTGTAGTGGTTAAGTGTGCGGACTCTAATCTGGGAGAACCGGGATTGATTCCCCACGCCTCCACTTGCAGCTGCTGGATGACCTCGGGCAAGCCACAGTTCTGATAAGAGCTGTTATCTCAAGGGCAGTTTCTGTCAAGAGCTCTCTCAGCCCCGCCTGCCTCACAGGGTGTCTGTTGTGGGGAGGAGGAGGGGAAGGAGATTGTAAACCGTTCTGAGACTCCTTCGGGTAGTGAAGGGCCATGGGGTATAAATCCAATCTCCCCCTCTTTTTCTTCTTCTTCTAGTTTGGTGTAGTGGTTAAGTGTGCGGACTCTAATCTGGGAGAACCGGGTTTGATTCCCCCCTCCTCCACTTGCAGCTGCTGGATGATTTTGGGCAAGCCACAGTTCTGATAAGAGCTGTTCTCTCAACGGCAGTTTCTGTCAAGAGCTCTCTCAGCCCCGCCTGCCTCACAGGGTGTCTGCTGTGGGGAAGGGAAGGAGATTGTAAACCGCTCTGATAATCCTTCGGGTAGTGAAGGGCGGGGTATAAATCCAATCTCCTCCTCCACTTTCACCTGGCTGGATGACCTTGGGCAGGCCACAATTCTGATAAGAGCTGTTATCTCAAGGGCAGTTTCTGTCAGAGCTCTCTCAGCCCCGCCTACCTGACAGGGTGTCTGTTGTGGGGAGAGGGAGGGAAAGGAGTTTGTCAGCTGCTCTGAGACTCCCTTGGGCAGTGAAGGGCGGAATATAAATCCAACCTCTCCTCTTCTTCTTCTTCTTCACAGACGCTGAACGGATCCGTGACCTTGGAACTGGTGAATGAGAAGTACTGGAAACTCAGCCGGCCCCTGGAGCTCTACTACGCCCCCACCAAGGAGCAGAAATGAGCCTGGGACCCACACCTGCCCCCCCCCCCCGCGAGAGGCCGGGAAGGCTGGGGGGGGGGGGATGACCCTCTGAGGCAGCGAAAGGACTTTTTGGAAAGAGACGCTTTTGGAAGGGGGGGGAGATGCCACGCCGCAAGAGACTGAGCTGCTTCCCCCCCCCTCGCCCGGCATTCTCCACCCCCCAGCAGAGACCCTTGCCCTCTGGAGTGGGTGAGGCCCACCCCCCACCGAAGTTTTTTTGCTTTTCCTTCCTGCTAACGACTGCCTGGCCGTGCGTGTGGTGGGGGGGTGGTTCGGGAGGGGGAATCTGGCATTTTTGTAACTGTTTTGCGGAATCAAGTCGATCAGAGAAGTTTTGGCCTCTTTCTAAGGCTGGATGTGGCATCTCTCTTTCGCTGGGGGGGAGGGGAGGGTCGGCGCTGGGCCTTCCCCGCCAGGCCCCCCCCCGCCGCCGCCCTCACAGCACATGCCGCCCTGCCCCCTGCCTTTTGCGGGAGGGAATCTCCCTTGGAAGAGGTGGGTTCTGTGGGGCGGGGGCACAGCTGGTCGTGCAGGGGTGGGGGTGTTTTAAACTGCCGACGGGGCTCCAGAGCACCGGTCCTGAGGCAAGGCCCCCGGTAGGCAGTGGCTCTTGGGAGAAGGTTCTGGGGACCAACATTCTGGGCTCTCGGTGGGTGCTGCCGTTGCCCTGAGGGGCTCAGCCGGGCCTGTCTTGAGTTCCGGGTGGAGAAGAGAAGAAGAGAGAGAAGAGATTGGATTTATACCCCATGGCCCTTCACGACCCGAAGGAGTCTCAGAACGGCTTGCAAACTCCTCCACCTCCCCACGACAGACACCCCTGTGAGGCAGGCGGGGCTGAGAGAGCTCTTTCGAGGACTGCCCTTGAGAGAACAGCTCAGAGAACTTGTGAGTGACCCAAGGTCACACCAGCAGCTGCAGGTGGAGGAGTGGGGAATCAAACCCGGTTCTCCCAGGTTGGAGTCCGCATTCATAATACACTTAGCAAGGACAAGAGAGTTGGGTGTGTCAAATTCTGGAGAGAAGAAGATGAAGAAGAAGAAATTGGATCTAGACCCGGCCGTTCACTACCCGAAGGAGTCTCAGAGCGGCTGACAAACTCCTCTCCCTTCCCCTCCCCTCAACAGACTCCCTGTGAGGTAGGTGGGGCTGAGAGAGCTCTTTTGAGGACTGCCGTTGAGAGAACAGCTCTGAGAGAACTTGTGAGTGACCCAAGGTCACACCAGCAGCTGCAGGTGGAGGAGTGGGGAATCAAGCCTGCTTCTCCCAGGTTGGAGTCCACATTCATAACACACTTAGCAAGGACCAGAGACTTGGGAGTGTCAAATTCTGGAGAGAAGAAGAAGAAGGGGAGTCTTGGAACAGCTTACAAACTCCTCTCCCTTCCCCTCCCCACAACAGACACCCTGTGAGGTAGGTGGGGCTGCGAGAGCTCTGAGAGAACTGTCCTTGAGAGAACAGCTCTGACAGAACTTGTGACTGACCCAAGGTCATCCAGCCAGGTGCAAGTGGAGGAGTGGGGAATCAAACCCGGTTCTCCCGGATTAGAGTCCGCCCACTTAACCACCACACCAAACTGGCTCTTGTGGCAATTCCAGCCCTCCACCCCAGCCAAAGCTGTACTTTTGTTTCCCTGTCAAAAGAACTTTGGCAGTTCACGAGAGGGAGGGCAGGAAGGGTTGCCTCAGTGCTTAGTTCTTTTGGCATTTCTTACATGCCCAGGGAAATGCTGGCCACCACTTTGGGGTCAGGAAGCAGTTTTTCTCCAGGCCAGTTTGGCCGGGGATCCTGGGGTTTTTTGGGTCATCTTCTGGGCATGAAGCAAAAGTCACTGGGTGTGTGTGTGTGTGTGGGGGGGAGGTAATTTGTGAACTTCCTGCCTTGTGCAGGGGGTTGGACTAGATGACCCTGGAGGTCCCTTCCAGCTCTATGAGTCTATCTCACTGCCTATGCCATGTGTGAGGCAGAAATCAGACAGGTGAAGCCCTCCCAGCCCAGGAAGGCGTTCCCCAGTGGAACTTCTTCCGGCCTGGCTGTGGCGTCTGTACAAGGACTGATGCTTTGCAAGGTGGGGGGGGGGGGGGGGGGGCTGGGGCTGTCTGTAGAGCCATCCCGGGGCCATCTCCTACGCCATCTGCTCGAGCAGGCGGCAGAATCCGCACCTGGATCTCCTCAGGACTAAGTATTGTTTGGCACGCAGAGGAAGCGGCGAGGCGTGTACGCGCAGGCAAAGGGCAGACTGCGTCAGCGGTTGGGCTTGAGCCTGCGAAGCGGCTGCCTGCGGAGTCTGGCCCGCAGCCCTGCAAACCCAACATCGCTCTATGGCCTCCAGGCAAAGCGGGAGTGATCCAGACGCTGAAAAGCAGGCGGTTTGCGTCGATTTATGCTGCAGCTGCCGCCAGCCAGCCAATAGGGAGCCTAGACTGCTCAGGAAGTCTCCACCCCCTTTGCGCTCCCCCCCTCCCCCTTGGAAACCCTGCTCTGGTCTTAAAGGTGCCACCAGACTCAAGACTGTGTTCTGATGCTCGTAAGCAGTGTTCCCTCTAAGCCGAGTGAGTGTGACCTTGCTCACAGTTTTTTAGCCTCCGGCTCACACATTTTTGCCTTAGCTCAGGAAGGAGGGCTCCAGAGCAAACTAATTCATGCAGTAGCCAAATCGCTCGCTCACAACTTTGATGCCAGTAGCTCACCAAGTACAATTTTTGCTCACGAGACTCGACAGCTTAGAGGGAGCACTGCTCGTAAGGATTGGCAACCCACTCAAGCGTTTTTCCCAAAGGCGACAGCCATTTGTGTTTGCCTGCGGGGTCTGACCCTTCCCCCCCCCCCAACTAGCGCAAGTAGGTGCTGAGGCGACTTTAGGATGAGAGCCGGAAACGTTTTATTGTCGTTTCAAGACAGGTGCGGCAGTTTTCTTTGGGTTATTTTTTTTAAAGAAAAGAAAAACAGCTCTTCAACACTTAGGCAGGCACATCTGGAATAGCAGGGCACGGGGCGTTTGATGCCCTCCCCCCAAAATCAGAGGCAGGGGAGCATTTGAGGACCCATGGGTGGGGGGCCCCCATCTTCACCTCTGGAAGCAATGCCGGCCGGGCGGGGGGCGGGGGCAGCTGGCGTATTTCTGCCCCAGACCGTGAGCCCCCCGCCCCCGTGCCGCAATCCCGTGTTGGTGGCCGAGGCGCGGCTGGAAGTCCAGGAGCAGGGCCTCCTGTCGAGGTCAGGCAGGCGTTTGGGATCGGATGGCCTCTGCGGATCTAGGAGTCGACTGTGGAAGGAAGGGAGAGGAGAAGTCATGGGGCTTGGGGGTCTGGCCAGCGGCCCCTCCCCACCTCCCAGGAAGTCGCAGCCCTCCCCAGCCGGGCAAGAGAACTGCCTCTGCACGTGGAGATTCCGTCCAGCTCTCGGCTGGTTGGGCCGATCCTGAGCATAACCGGGGCCCTCCCTCCTTTCCCCAGCTAAGGTGCAGCTCTTGGGTCGCTGAGGGCTAAGAGTGAGCTTCTGTTAGAAAACATGGCTCTGCCGTCTACGGAATCAGGCCCCTCTCTCCATCCAGGTCGGTCTTGTCTGCTCAGGCCCGGCAGTGGCTCCCCAGGGACGCCGGCTGAGGTCCTTCACGTTGCTTCCTGCCTGGTCCCTTTAACTGGAGATGCCGCCCAGGATTTGAACCTGGGACCTCCTGCATGCCAAGCAGAGGCTCTCCCACTGAGTGAGCCGGGGGGCCACCGAAAGTGGCGACTGAGGCGGCCGTGACCTCAGAAGAGGGGCCAGGGAATTGGTGGGAGGTCATTCCTGATTTTCAGTCCATGGGAAATTGCTGAAGATATAATGGGCAATAGGTAAAGGTGTCCCTGGCTCGAAAGCCAGTCGAATCCGACTCTAGGGGGGCGGTGCTCATCTCCGTTTCCAAACGGAAGAGCCAGCGCTGTCCGAAGACTTCTACGTGGTCATGTGGCCGGCATGACTAGGCGCCAAGGCGCACGGAAGGCTGTTACCTTCCCACCGAAGCGGTACTTATTTATCTACCTGCAGTTTCTTGCTTTTGAACTGCTAGGCTGGCAGGAGCTGGGGCCAGAGATGGGAGCTCACTCGGGTCTCGAACTGCCAAGCTACCGGCCTTCCGGTCTGCCGCTTGGCGTCCGGCCCCTGTAATGGGCAACACCTTCTCACAAAACAAGTGGGGAGTGGCAGCCAGGCCTTGAAGTCAGAGTTCAGGCTGCAAGAGAGAGATTTGACCCTGTGTGTGTCTGTGTGTGGATTGGGGCCCTCTCTCAGTCGCGACTGGCTGACCTCAGTCCTGTCACCCTCTTACCACCACTGTTCGTTCCGGGGTTGTTTTAAGGATAACGTGAAAAGGGGACCCTACAAGTATTGCCTTGGAACGGAGGGCAGAAACCAACTGGACACACAGTGTGCGCTTTCCACAAAGAGGAGGTTCCCAGGCAGGGGGAATCAAAGGCCAGAGTCGAAGGCCATCCCCAGGAGAGAGAGTGTGTGTGTGTGGGGAATGTGGGGGGGGTGCTGGATGCTGGGAAAGGCCTTGGAGAGCCCCCGTGCATCAGTGGAGGCAAGAGGGACTTTGATGGACCAAGCCTGTGTGGGAGCCTAAGCGATGTTCCCTCTAAGCTTAGTGTGAGCTAGTTCCTAGTTTTTTAAGCCTCCGGCTCACACACTTTTGTCTCAGCTCGGGAAGGATGGGGCTCCAGAGCAAACTAATTGATGCAGCAGCCCAATTGCTGGCTCACAACTTTAATGCCAGCAGCTCACAAGGTAGAATTTTTGCTTACAAGACTCCGCGGCTTGGAGGGAGCATTGGTTCCTAAGCAGGGGTCATTTCGTAGAAGTGGTGCAGGAGCTCATTAGCATATCAGCGTAATTTATTTGCATATGCCACACCCCCTGGCATCACCGTATTGTGTCAGAAGGCAACACCCACCGCTCAGGCTCCACTGGACTGTTTTCTCCAACCGGCACCTTGGTGTACATTTGCACCACAGAGGAGGGAGAGCTTGTACCTGAAGGCGGGCAGGGGTGGGAGGCTCTGCAATTGACCTGGCTGCTTCTTGCTCCTCGTGGCCTGACTGAGGGCTGCTGGGAGCAGGGGGCGGGGCCTGCTGCCTGTGCTCCTTAGTGCCGGAGCTCCGCTCCTGTGCGCTCCTGCAGGAAATGATCCCCGGTCCTAAGGCAGCTTCATGCAGACTGTGGCCTGCAGTCCCCTGACTTCACTGGGCCAGCCCAGCGCATCTTTGCCTCATTTCAAAAGAAAAGCCAAGTTTCCAGCCCCAATGGTTGTAGAAGGGGGCGATAATCGTGGGGGGGGGGGCTCCGAAAGGGGCCGGGGCGATGGCTTCAGGACAGCATTTCCAGTGGGGGGGGAGGGGAGAGTTGGGGGCATCCTGGAAGCGCCCCGCTGCCCACTCTTGGGAGTGGGGCATGTGGCCCCTCGTTGGTCTGACCCAGCAGGGCTCCTCCTGTGGCCCTTCGGAGGGATCGGCTCAAACCCCGACATGAGCCTCTCGCTGCACTTACTGGCTGGGGAGGCTGCAGATGGAACCTCCCCCTTCGAAAGCAGCCTTTCCCCCGGACTGTGTTCACTGGGTGGGCTGTTACTTCCCCGCCCCCCCGGTGGGCTTCCCAGAACCATCCGAGGCCCACCTAGACAGTTGCCCCACTGATCCAGGGGAAGCGATTCTTGGGTTGGGGGAGGGGGATCAGTGCCCCCTGCTTTGACTGACAAGCAAAATAAGTCATGCCAACAAGCCTTGGAGAAGTCCCCCCTGTCCAAAGGCCTTGTTTCCAAAGGTCGGAGAAGACCTACCTGGGGGGTAGTTGTCGCCATCGATGGGAACATAACCTGGGCGTGAGGAGAAGAGGGAGGGGAGTTAGTAAGAGACGTCACAAGTCATCATTATCGTGTGGCATCGTGTGTCGAATTCCCAGGATTGTCTGGCAGCCAGAAGTTCCAGCTCTTTTAGCGTTATGCACCACTAGGTGGCGAACTAGACTTGTATTTTTTTAAGGCAAGAGGTGCTTCAGAGGTGGTTTGTCATCGCCTGCCTCTGCGTCACAGGCCTGGCCTTCCTCAGACCCTGAGGCCGACCCTGCTTAGCTTCCGAGATCTGATGGGGTCTGGCCAGTCGGGGCTGGCCCCCGGGAACGGGCTGCTGGCTTTCGTCAGGCTGAGCCTGCAGATGGTTCCCTGTAACAGATGCAGCAAGGGGGGTTCCGCCAAGAGCCGAAATCCTTGCAAACCTTGGATGGCCCTGTTGTCCTAATCGCCACTAGGTGGCGAGCTAGACTTTTCAGGGGCGGTTTTGCCCTTGCCTGCCTCTGCATCACAGCCCTGGTATTCCTTGGAGGTCGCCCTTCCAACCCCTAGCCAGGGCCCACCCTGCTTGGCTTCCGAGATCTGGCGGGATCGGGCCGGCCTGGGCTATCCAGGCCGGTGCTCGTAAGAGAGAAGTGCTGGGTGTGCATGCCGGGCGTGGATCGGAAACCCCACCCCACCCCTTTCTGTGGCTGATCCCAACATCCAGCGCAGATGTGCAGGAGGGGAGGAGAGGCCCGCGCCCTGAGTCATGCGCAGAGTGCCAGGAACTGCGCTGCCCCCACACATTCACCTGGAGACTTGCCTTTCTCCAACCGGCACCTGGGTGTTCGTTTGCACCCATATCGTACCATTCTGCCTTCTGCAAGTATCTACGCATTCGTTTTTTTAAAATCAAGTTTCTAGTCCTGATGAATGCAGTGATGGGTCTGAGGGGCCTGGGGGAATGCACACCTCTGGGGCAGGCAGAAAGGGAAGTGATGACGCAGACTCATCCGGCATACAGGCAGGGACCCCATCCGAGAAAAGGGGTTTGGCCCAGCCTCTTCCTTGACACCCTACTTTTCTACATGCGAGGGTTTAAAAAAAACAACAGAACAGCCCCCTCCTGAAGAAGTACAGCCCAGGCATCGCTTAGCACCCCCCATCACTGAACAGGGGGGGTCTCTCCCTGTGTGCAACACATGATGGAGCCCTCCCCACTTATGCGAAATGCTTCTCCCCCCCCCCACCACATCCCTCCTCTTACCTTCCGGCACCCGCTTTTTCCAGCAGACGAGGCCAGTGATGAGGAAGATGAGGCCCACCCCCAGCACTGCGCCGGAGGCCCCCACCTTCACCTTGAGCTCCGGGGTCAGGCCTGGCTCTGGGGGGGGAGAGGGGGGGACACCAGGACCGGGGGGGGTGTTACCAAAGGCCCAAGACTTCGAGGTGGCTCCCCCCCCCCCCCCCCAGCTTCATCTCCTCCGCTCCCCCCTTTCACAGTGGGGGAGGCCGAAAAGTCCCCCCCTCCTCACACCGCTTCTCTTCCCACCCGCCAGCTAATGACGCCCCCTCTCGGCCTCCTTTCTTGTTTCGGTCTCCGGGGCCTCCCCCCCCCCCCGCGCACCCCCCAAAGAGACAATACGGGACACAAAGGAATGCCACATCAGCCACAAAATTAAAAACTCCATGTAGAACGGTGTGTGTTTGGGGTGGGGGTTTTCCCCCATCCATTCCAGGCCCCAAAGGTTTGGCTTCCCAGCCCACCCCCAGCCCAAATCTTGCCCAGGCCATGAAGGCTCCCCCCCCCCAGACCGGAAGTCTTCCTCCCTCCCCCCTCCCCGTGCTGCCTCTGCTTGGGGGGCTGGGCATCTTGAAAGGATGAGTTCTGTCCCACACGCGTGGTGGAACAGGCGAGCAAGAGAATTTAAAGGGGGGGGCATCAGCCAGCCAGCCAGCCAGCCTTGGAGCTGGGGGGGGGGAAGCAGGAGAACACCCCCTCTTCCTCTTCCCTCCAACATGGGGAGCGGAATGCATTCTGCAAAACGCCACCTCTGGAGGAGACCCCAGGGCCTGCCTCCGATGCTCGAAGTCTGGAGGCCCCGCCCACAATGGTCCAAAGGGCGAAGGGGCGGGGAACACCCCAGCTCTTGCCCCTCCTTACGGCAGAAGTGGACCGGCTTCAAGAGGGAATTGGATAACCATAGGGAGCAAAAGTCCATCAGTGGCTATTAGCCACAAGGTATAGGTAGGGACTCTCGGTCTGGGGCAAGGGATGCTCTGTACTCTTGGTGCTTGGGGTGGGGGCAACTGTGGGGGGGCTTCTGGTGTCCTGGCCCCACTGATGGACCTCCCGATGGCACCTGGTGTGTTTGGCTACTGCCTGACACAAAGAGTGTTGGACTGGATAGGCCCTTGGCCTGATCCAACATTGGCTTCTCTTATGTTCTTATTCTCTTTTTACACCCCCCCCCCAAGAACTCTGGCCTTGCAGCTTTCTTTAGGGCCGTAGGGATGCAAGGGGGAACCCCCTGGAATTGTCTCAAACCCCCCCCCCCACACACACACACACAATTCAGGTCCAGCCCCTGGAGCCAGTTTGGTGTAGTGGTTAAGTGCGCGGACTCCAATCTGGGAGAACCGGGTTTGATTCCCCCACTCCTCCACTTGTACCTGCTGGATGACCTTGGGCAAGCCGTAGTTCTGACAAGAGCTGTTCTGGAAAAAGAGCCGTTTCTGTCAAGAGCTCTCTCAGCCCCACCCACCTCACAGGGTGTCTGTTGTGGGGAGGGGAAGGGAAAGGAGATTGTAAGCCGCTCTGAGACTCCCTTGGGTAGCGAAGGGCCATGGGGTATAAACCCAATCTCTTCTTCTTCTTCTTCTCTTTGGGGAACGTTTTCTTGATTTTTTTTCCGTTAAAAAGGGAAGTGAAAGGGCAGGGGCCCTGTGCCCATCTGTGGGCCTTGGTGCTGAGGGAATGCCACTCTGCACATGAAGAAGAAGAAGAGACTGGATTTCTACCCCACCCTTGTCTTAGAGCGGCTTACAAGCTCCTTCCCTTCCTCTCCCCACAACAGACGCCCTGTGAGGTAGGTGAGGCTGAGAGACCTCTGAGAGAACTTCTCTTGAGAGAACAGCTCTAAGAGAACTTGTGACTGACCCAAAGTCACCCAGCCGGCTGCATGTGGAGGAGTGGGGAATCAAACCCGGTTCTCCCAGATTAGAGTCAGCCACTCTTAACCACACAACACCAAACTGGACCTGTTCCCTTCTTGCTTTGGGGGAGGGGGGTGTCTCCCCTGCCTCCAGGCTAGTCTCCCCCCCTCCCTGCACTCACCCCAGTCCTGGGCCAGGGGCTGCAGAAGGCTGGCGTGGTCCACCTGGCAGGTGTAGGTCTCCCCACTCTGGGGGTAGACGGGCAGGCTCAGCCGCGTCTGGTAGGTCCAGTCCCCGTTCGAGACCACCGCCACGCCGGAGCTGTTCTTCACAAACATCCCGTTCCGCAGCCAAGTGACGGCCACGTCTGCCGGGTAGAAGCCCCACACCTCACAGGTCAGCATGACGGGCGCTGGCGTGTTCTGAGGGGTGATGGGGAAGATGCGGACGTTGGGGGGTGCTGCGGGGAGGAAAGAGCAGGAGTTAGCATGGCTCCACCAGCCAGAACATTGAGGACTCCTTTTCCTGCCCTCACTTGCCCTCCAAAGGGGAAGAGACCATCGCTTGCCTTCAAAGGGGAAAGAGGCCTTTGTTTTTCTTTCAAGGGAGAAGAGTGCATAGCTTCCCTCCAAGGGGAAAGAGACCATTACTTGTCTTCCAAGGGGAAAGAGGCCATCGCTTGTCCTCCAAAGGGACAGAGAACATTGGTTGCCTTTTGGAAGAGTGCATAGCTTCCCTCTATGGGGAAAGAGGCCATTGCTTGCCCTCCAAAGGGCAACAGGTCATCGCTTGTCTTTCAAAGGGATAGAGGCCATTGCTTGCCTTTCAAAGGGGAAGCATACATAACTTCCCTCCAAGGAGAAAGGAGCCATCACTTGCCCTCCAAGGGGAAAGTGGCCATTGCTTGCCTTTTAAGGGGGAAGAATACATAGCTTCCCTCTTAGGGGAAAGTGACCACTGCTTGCCCTCCAAGGGGGAAAAGGGACAGAGACCATTGCTTGCCCTCGAAGGAGAAGGAGGCCATCACTTGCCCTCCAAAGGGACACAGGCAACTGCTTGCCCTCCAAGGGGAAAGAGGCCATCACTTGTCCTCCAAACGGACAGAGGCCATTGCTTGTCTTTCAAGGGGGAAGAGTGCATAGCTTCCCTCGAAGGAGAAGGAGGCCATCACTTGCCCTCCAAAGGGACACAGGCAATCCCTTGCCCTCCAAGGGGAAAGAGGCCTTCACTGTCCAAAGGGACAGAGGCCATTGCTTGTCTTTCAAGGGGAAGAGTGCATAGCTTCCCTCCAAGGAGGAGGAGGCCATAATTTGCCCTCCAAAGGGACCCAGGCAATCCCTTGCACTCCAAGGGGAAAGAGGCCATCGCTTGCCCTCCAAGGTGGAAAGAGGCCATCGCTTGCCCTCCAAGGGGAAAGAGGCCATCACTGCCATTGCTTGTCTTTCAAGGGGGGAAAGTGCATAGCTTCCCTCCAAGGGGCAAGAGGCCATCGCTAGCCCTTTAAGAGGCAAGAGGCCCTCACTTGCCTTCCATGCCCTTCAGCTCCCAGGGAGGACGGAGCCTGTTCAGCGTGCATCACAGACCCATCACAGCTGCCCTCCGGAGAGCCACCCCACCTGCAAGGTCGGGCTCCCAGCGGCTCCGTCCTAACCCAGGAAGGCTCTGGATGTCTGGACCGAGCCCCCCTCCCTGCTCCCATCCCACCCCCTACTTACTGCGCCGGCCGCCAGTGGTGGCCCAGAGGGGTTGCGGCATCTGCTCCTGGCAGAGGTCCCACAAGGCCCGGCCCCAGGTAGGGAACTGCTGGCTGAAGTCGTCTGCGAGGGTGGCGGCGACCTGGTTCCAGTCCCGGGACTCGCCCAGGCCGCAGGGGAGGAACTCCTGGTAGACATGGTTGTAGTAGATGAAGCACATCTTGTTGAAGGCCAGCGTCCAGTTGGCGCCCAGCAGGCGGCCCTCGGCTGAGAGGGGGCAGTCCAGCTCCACCTGCAGCAGGAAGCCCTCTGCAGGGGGGGGGAGACAGAGAGGGAGGGGTCAGGGGGCGGGGCCGACACGCAGCCCCGCCCCCCCGCACATGGGAGCCACCCGGGGGCGGGCCAGAGCAGCAGCCGGACCGGGAAGCCGAGCGCGCCGAGGCGCCCTGGCAAGGAGAAGGGGGCAACTGACCGGCAGGTGGCGCTGCGGCGCTCACACGGGCAGGAAAGGCCTCCGCCCCGAGGAGTCCCGCTGGACTCCGGCGCCTTTCAGCCCCCAGGCTGCCCAGCCAAGCAGAACCCGCCCCCCCCCCAGCAGAGCTCAGGAGGCGAAGGATCCAGAGCCCCGCAGACGGGGGGGGGGGGGGGA